ATTTTTAGGGAAATTTTTAGGGAAATGTCCCCCTTAAATTAAGTGAAAAAGTTACGGGTGCCCATGAGGTCCCTTAACTGCTTCATTCAGAATGGATATCAATATAAACAGCATTTGTGGAGATTAATGTTGCTTTCCTCTGCCCTGGTTGCAAAAGGAAAACATCAACATTTACAATTACTATGTTACGTCTAGTCTATGAGACCAGGTTGATCAACCAGCTAGCTAGGTGTATACCTAGCCAGCTACATAGCTAAACATTGGAAGGTGCACAATCCATGGCCACAAAGCTAGCTGGCTAGCTAACTACTCTGTAAATTACCTTGACCTGCTAGAAAGTAATAGAAACAAGTTGAGAAAAAAGTAACTAAAAGAAACATGTTTCATTATCTTCTGAATCAATTTGCTTCTCCTGTCTTGAATGTAGAAATTCTATTTTTACGATCTCCCAAAATAAATGCAATCTTAGTCAGTAAATCAGGTCATCTCCATAGTAACCAGAGATTATTTCTGCTGTACATGCCTTCAAACTACCGTAAAATCAAAATAAATAAATGTGCATTCTTCACATGCTTCATAAACAACAGGTGTAGACTAACAGTGAAACAATTACTTACGGAGCCTTAAGTATTCCCTTACCTAATGTTTGAGGGTCTCTAACGCGCTTAAACAATTCCCTTAGGTAAGGGGAAATTATTCCTTAAGGTAAATCCTTAAGGGAAACACTTAAGATGTTTTATGCAACCTGGCCCAGAGCCCTGAGGCAGAACGATGACGTGGGCTGGAGACTTCACATTCACATGGACCAGGAAGTGCTTGCTTGGACTCCCTTCAGAGGAGCAGAGAGAGATCATCCAATCATAAATCAGAATTAAGGTCTCCAGGACAAAACATGACTTACTCTGGAGCTGAAGAAGCAAAGCATTAACAATGCTCGCCCAGTCCACAGCCTTAAGAGGCACTCTGGTGATTGTGTACAGTGTATGCTTTGACATGTTATTAAATGGGACAAAAGGGAAGGGTTCCAATAGACCCATGGATGGAAGGAGGAAGGGATTTCTACACAGATGATGCATGTGAACATCAATTCCGACATGGCTGGGAAGTTCACAAAAGATTGTACTTTGCAGAGTAGTTATTTACCTTCTGGCCATGTTGTCTTATACACAGATGCTCTCTGTCCTGTGTTATTTCTTCACTCAGCATGTGATGGGACTCAACTCTGACAAGAAAATGTACAATACAGAAATGTTGCTTTGTAAGCATGTCGCCACATGCAAGTATTGTAAGTCTTTCATAGTCCTCTTTATGGACTGTTTATCTACATATGAAGACCACATGAAGACCGATATCTTATAATTAAATGCTGACAAAGTTTACCTTTGTAATCATGGATATTCGCTATTGATGTGTCTTCAGTCATTTGCTGGTAGAGTTGCAAAATTCTGGTAACTTTGGCAAAAATCCTCCAACTGAAATTTCTAGACAATCTGGGAATTTTCAGAAACTTGACGGAATTTTTGCAACCCGTGGTCAAAACACCTGTTCAGTTCATGACCAACTAGTCTACATTTTCACGGTCAGGTCACACTCTTCGCTGATTACAGCTTCTCCTTAAGAGGGAAATAGAGAAAACAATGTGGTCTCACTGTGGTTGCTGACCTAAGCTGACACACTGTATCAAGTATGTTGGTCAGCAGCCCTGACATGTACTGCCTGTATTAAACCACAGTTATAGGCCTAGTTCTTTCTTTTAGACTTGGGTCTTTCCTCTCCTCTCTCCACTGTGCAGACAGCGTGCAACATCCAAAAAGCACAGCTGTCAGAGCAGATGATCATCGGGACTGAGCCTTATTGGGTGAGCAACGACACCGTCTCAAATCAAGTACTACAGTACTTTGGAATACAGAAAAGAAAAGCTATAGACTCTGACTTACATTAACTAATACTAGATATAGTTCCCTTTTTAATGCAAACCCATACATATTGGCTAAGTGCAATACAGTATGTCCCCACATCACAAGATGTTTCTTACTACATACCGTCCAATCAAAGGTTTATGACTACAACTCCATGTGATCAGTTCAATTAATGACATCATCACCTTGCATATAAACTTAATAAATCACTGAGTAAATCATGCCCTACAAGAAGTGAAAAAGCAAGAGCGAGACAGCACACCATGCAGCCAAATATTCTTACCTCTTATTTGCCTGCCTCCAACGGAGTTGTCACTAGTCTTCTTCATGCCCTGCAAACATTCATGTTGAGTAGCCCCACTGGCTTACTAAATGTTAGCTAAGTCAGAAGTATCAATACTGTGCATCAATCCATTTCCGTCCCTCAATTCTCAATTAAGCCAACGTGTTTACGGCACTATTACCCAGTCCAACGGGGAGCAGCACCACCTCCTATTCACTTGTCAGACCAAATTTGCTTCCAGGGCTCAGTGAGTTGTGAAGCCAATGCAAGCCGCTCAGCCAGGCTTGGGGCTGGTTTTACAGTGCCGCCTTTCATCACATTCAACCCAGTGATCTGTGAAATGACTGGAGGGCTGGAAGAGGGGTGAAGGGACCTCAGGACCCATTCATGGTTGGCATCTTTATACAGTATGTGTGAGACAATTGAGCAATTGAGCAGGAGTATGCATGTGTTATTAACAGCACATAAGAATACCTATTCTGGTGTTACGCTCAAGCTCGCAGACAGACAGCAGACATGCAGGCGTTAATGAAGTTTACACAATGTTACTGTTTGTTATAGGGCAAAAGTTCATGTTCATTATTTTTTACCACAGTATATTGCAATATCTTGTGACAATCTGGTTGTCATATGGCAGTCAGTGACATGTTTTGATTAAGGCAGAAATAATTATGTTTTTCAAAAGCAGCGCTATCCATGTTAAATTTGGATAAGGACAGAATATAGATAGCCATGGCTTGGACCTAATATTTTATCATTCCCACAGTATTATGCTGTCCTGTTTAAATCATAACTACTTCATGTAGTAATTGTGTTGTTCATTATTTGGTGGACCATTTCTGCTTGCTAGACATTTTTGTTTAATTAATGACTAATTAGGACATTCCATTATTATATGCCTACAAAGTATTTATCTGTAAGTGTTGTTGCCTGCATTTATGAATATCAGCATGCTCTCAAATACAGTACTGTATAGTGTTCAACATTATACAATTCTGCAGTGGATACTGTTTTGTGTGTTTAAGCATGATCCTATGCAAATTGTGTGGCCTTGACCTGGTCATGATGCAATCCTCTGTATACAGTATGCTGTAGCAGGATGTACTGTAGTAGACAACTGTGCTATTGTGTATGCTAAAGCATGATATCCTGGTTGTGTGTGTCTTTGTCAGGCTCCGAGGCTGTGTCCCAAATGGCACCTTATTCACTATGTAATGCTCTGCTTTTGATCAGAGCTCTATTGGCCCTGGTCAAAAGTAGTGCACTATATGGAGAATAGGGTGCCATTTTTGGACACTGCCTCGGAGCCTGACAAAGACACACACAACCTGGATATCATGCTTTAGCATACACAATAGCTCCCGACTCTGTGGGTCAGTTAGCGTCAAGTTTGATGGCAGCCCCTTTGCTGCAGTCATCACAGAGAACCCCATCACCATCACAACAAACTATACGTGTGAGTTACTGAGAAGACATTCCTTGTAAAAATAGGCCAAGAGATTAGAAGAGTATTGAATCAAATTCCAGATTAAAAAAACTATTGGTGTGAGTGAAATGATTGTTAGATTGTTGTGTTTATTTATAAAGCATGTGAAATGAAGTTGAGACAAAAAGGACATCTGAAACAAGAACTGCACTTGTAAACAGCAAAATGGACCATTGGAATATTTTATTAATGTGTAGAAAATGTATTAAAAAAGGAACTATACAGTACATGTTTAAAGTTAAACTAGAACTAATCTCACCGGTAGTACCCAGGATTATCCAACACAATCCAGATACTTATCAAATGAGCTTTTCCACGGTCCCAACCTTCCTTCACATTCTTCATGGCAAATAATATAGATAGCATAGAACTGGGATCTTAATCCAACAGGCAAAGTACACATTTCAACAATCCTTGTGGCTATTTCTCAGCTAAATAGTAATGTTGCATCAACTGACAAATGTATTACGTAGCTGTGTCTAGTGGTCATAAATACAATTAAATAAAAAAACAACAGGAAATCATTCCACACATTAACTATGCCTGATTAAATCACACAACAGAGGAACAGATTGTGGGTTTGAGTTGTGATCCAGTGTGAGTTGTTTCTCCAGTGCATTGTGAAGCTGTGATTGGTAAAGTAATGGGGGAAGATGGACAATTCTGAAGCACTAGATGAGCTTTTACCATCTGCTATGCAAATCAATAATAGAGTGAAGTCTGCCCTCAACGTTGTTGCATAAAATGCAGTCTTTTGATTACACTCCCCTCCTCACACAGAACATTTTTGAAACCTTCTCTCAGATGTAAATACAAAGATCTGCATGCTGTGCACCAGATAAAACAGAGAGACACTTTACAGTTTCTCATCTGTTCAAATAGAAGAGCAGACCACATGTTAACTTGGCCTCTGGCTATGGCGTTCGAAAACAGGGTTGTGTCCCAAATGGCACCCTATTTTCTATTTAGTGCACTACTTTTGACCAGGGCCATAGGGCTCTGGCCAACTGAACTACTCTTGACCAGGGCAATAGGTCTCCGGACAAAAGTAGTGCACTAAATAGGGAATAGTGTGCCATTTGGGATGCAGCCCCAAATTCGACTATTGATCTGATCCTCCTACATCACACTTGGAATGCATACTAAGAGAGTAACAGCAATGTTAGTCCTACAGCATATCAATAGGTTAAATGTATAATTCTGATAAGAAAATGTATGTAGGCTATTTCTTGTTTGATCATTTACTTATCTAATATGAGTGGCATGCGACATATCCAAGCACTTATTATTCTAGGACAATGTAATCATTTTAAAGTGATAGGATAATTCACCCATAATCTGCATGATTTTTGTACAGCCATGCAATTGTCCCTTAGTTGATTTACATATGGACTGTGATGAACTGTGATTAGAGCGTTAGAGTATTTTCTGTGAGGTTGATTATGTGGTGAACTGCAGACCTATTACGTCAAAATCTGTTTCTACTCATGGCTGTATGAGGCATCAGAACCATAGAAATAGAATCACAGTGGTCTGTGTTATTCCCATTCTAGTTATTCCATTCTATAATCAGAACTATACATTCACCCTCCTTCAAGTGATGGCATGGGAGCAATAGTAGGAACAATAGTGGTGGCTATAAGGGGCCCTACTGTTTCCCCCCAAATGTAAGTATTCTGCTTCAGCAATGTCTGGTGGAGGTCTGACGATGCCTGGGAGAGGTATACTTGATCTACATGACTCGGCATTCACAGTTTATGGAGTTAGTAACAGCATTGCATATACTCCTGTCACATATGTGCAACGTGTTGTCTACAGTAGTCCTGAAGTGGAAAGGCATGAAAAACAACTTTATATTCAGCATATTGAGATTCTATTATATTTCTTACTAACAATACATTTATTTCCCTCCTCAGTATTCCTCGATTTGTTTATATTCTTTTAGTACTCAGCATTTTCGCAGCCATCATTGATTACATGCATTTGTATTTGAGGTTCCCTCAAAAGTTAGATGTGCTATTACATCACAAGTGTCTTAACGCTCTAATACCTTTAATTCCAAATTCAAGTAGAATTTTGTAGATATTCTCTCTTTTGCTCCCCTGAAACAACATCAAAACAGGTAAGATGATTTAATCAGTCCAATTGAAATATAACTTTACCAGCTCAGACTTCAACTTCAATTCTTGGCAGAGATTCTGGGGGTTGAAATACTGACAAGCTTAACTTTTGTGCACGTTGAAAAAGGCTATGACTTACAGAAAGGAATCATAACATAAATAAGAACTACAGTATACATATGCTAAAGCTTGGAATAGGCCTTCTGGATAATCTTGTCAGAACACCTCACCTAACCAAACGTGTTTGTGGACAATAACGCTGTATAATTCTGATTGATTGACAATTATAAATTCTGAAAGACAGTGGTGACATTTTTTGGGAGGAGTCAATAAGCATTCGGGTTAGAATTTGGGCACACCAGCATCTGCCAAAAGAGACACCTCTTTTGTTACATACAGTACATTCCATCTGTTATCTACAGAGCTTCATCACTCTCATTCCTTGCACAAAATGCACTGAGACATAGTTAGTCTATGTAGTTAATAAACAAGTGCACACCCTATTCTAGTAAAAACTAAACAATGTCTTGCTCAGGGAGTTCGGATGCATTGCATTAACAGCTCTGGAACAGTCACTGGACAAGTGGAATTCTGAGGAGAAATTCAACACTTAAATACAATAATATTCTCATGACACATTTGTTATTACCATGGAGGTGTTGCTCATACTGTTAGCATGCAGTAGGCTCATCCTTTTTCAAAACAAGTCTGTCTTAACAACTATGATTAGAACAATAGGGGAAGTAGTATAAGAGTTTCATAATGCTCCTGATTCCTATACCGATATATACCATAGTACCAGCAGTCTATAGGATGGTCAATCACCATTGTTTTAAGTCATCAAGTCTAAAGGACAGTGAATAACAAGAAATATACACAGTCATTATGTTACAAACACACTGTGTGGTTGGTAGAGTTTGTAGAGATTGGGTGAGTGAAAAATAAAGTTAATTGGTCAATATAAACCACAGAAAACGGAGAACAACAGTAAATTAAATGGTTTGATGTAAATGATTGGATAAGTAGAAATACAGTGTATCCATCCATCAAATGTACATTGAGGACATGAGGGGTTCGCTACAGCAGGCCAAATGTTACTTGCACTGGTGGCGTAACACAGTTAGACATTAAATACGGGTGAGACAGGAAGAATGTACTGTATTTAGGACGACTATTAAACACCAACATACAGTAATTGAGCTTATCAGTTTCAAATAATACTGACAAAGAACAAGTGCTCAGAAAGTAACCATGACAATTGTTTCTGAGATTACAACCAATTATCCCCCCAAAAATCTGCTGAAGTGATGATGAGGTTACAAAGAAAGGGAGCTCTGTCGACAGTTTCTCTTCAGCAAATCTTTGGTTTCATGTCAGAACTAATATTAGCACCCTCACTGCAAGTAACATAATGGGGAAACATTTGAGAGTGCTAATTCAAATACAGTATCCATATACCGCTTTACATTTGTTTGTGGAGTTGGAATTTACTCAAGGAGAATACCGTATGTGAATATTGGTCAGTGTTATATATTTCAGTTATGCAGGGCAGTATCAAGACAATAATTGAATGACAGTGGTCATACTATGTAACTTGCTCACTGTTCTTTTCTTACTAAATGGGCACTGGAGCTAGGCTTGTACATTTCAAGTTGAGCACAATCATTGTTTGGTGCTCTACGTTTCTTCCATTCCAACCAGAGTATGGATTTGGGATTTTATTTTATATTCAAAAGTAAATCGGACACATGGACATAAATAAATAAATAACTGATGTTGAATCCACTATTACAGGCTGGTATGTCGCTTGGTAATGGCTAATGCTGATTAGCTCATTATGAGTGCCAATGTTTTGTCTATGTCCAATGAATTGCTCCATGCAGGCATTTGTCTATAAAACTCATGGAGGGTTGCTATTTCAATCAAAATCTCAGTAACAAGGCATCAAATCATATCATGTAATAAATTGACTTTTACCATATCAGTTATAAAAATAGAGATATCTTACATGTTTATGGGCATATAGAATTTTGTTAAAATTACTATTTTAAATGGGAGAAATAATCCTAGCTCTCATGTACTCATATTTTATAGACAGAGAGAAGTTCATGAACTCTACTCTGAGCTCACCCCTTTAATTTCCAGGACAGGGCAACTGACTAAACACACAAACCTAATGGTTTACCTCTCTTCCTACTTTAGCAAATAGATAGCCTCAAAATCCAGATTGACTCACACTATGTTTCACTCGTTTCACTAGTGGAGTGAAACAAATGTGAAACAGAGCTGAATTCAGTCTGGTTTTCCGGGCTAGCAAACAGAACCATTGTCATTCAATTGTTTTAATAAATTACATAGCTCGTCCTATTGTCTTTCAGCCTTATGTAGAAGTGGGAACAGCTAGCTGGATTGGGGGTAAAAGTGTACAGGGATAAAGGGTTTATTCTGGAGGAGTGGACCTCCTTCGCTTGCCACTGATGCTGCGGTAGTTAAATGGCCTCATCTTCATCTCCACGAAGGGGATAGAGAACTCATGACCCTTCCAGTAATGCCAGTTGATACCCTGTAAGATCAAGAGAAGACATTGGTTAGAAACTTATGCTGAGTTATGTAACTTCCGATTACATATTGCTCATATGCCAAGTGAGATAGGTTTAGGTATTGTTCTCAATGGACAGTTCACTTCTAATTTGAATGTAACATCCTCAGCTGTCTCCTTATTCTCAGACCAACCTTTTTCCTTTTTCCTTACAATGGTATTTCCTATAGCCTGTTACAGGATGGGGTCGCAGTTCCGGAGCGACACACTAGGTGTCATCCTCCGACACCTCTCCGGAATGTCCCCTCATTCTCGGGCACCCCTGGCTGGTCGCTCACAACCCCCGGATTGACTGGTCCATGGGGCGGCTCATCCTGGAGGGAGGCTCCGCCCCCGTCCTGTTCGGTTCCCCACTGACCACTCATCAGCCCAAACCACCATCCCAGACCACCTACCAGTCCTCACCTCTTCCCCAGGAGTATTGGGATCTGGGGGAGGGCTTTAGTAAGAGGCGTGCCAAGGGCCTACCTCCTCACAGGCCTTATGACTGAGCTATCGATCTCCTGCCGGGCGTATGCCCACACGAGGGCGATGGCTTTCCTTGTCCCGGCCTGGAGACGCTGGCCATGAGGGACGACCCCATTGTCCCCAACGCCCTGATTGCTGCCCCAGTTTCGTGGGGAATTGATAGGCTGGTCAGAGCAGCGCTACGGCGGGAGCCCGATCCGGGCGGAGGTCCATCGGGGAGGATGTACATACCCAAGTCTGCGCACTCGCGACTGCTTCAGTGGGCGCACGCGTCCGACCTCACCAGCCATCCGGGGGGCGCCAGGACGTTGGAGTTCCTGCATAGGAGGTTCTGGTGGACATCTGCTGAGAAAGATACGCTTGCCCGGTGTGCGCACGCACGAAGAGCTTACGTCAGCCCGCGGCAGGGCTGCTCCGACCCCTGCCTATCCCCAAGCGCCCCTATTCCCTGATCAAGAGAAGGAGGCGGCGGTCCCGTGGAGCAATTCAGAGTGGTCCAGCGAGTCAACCCAGTGACCTACCGCCTGCAACTTACCCCCACATGCGGGTGCATCCCACATTCCATATGTCCCTCCTCTAGCCCGTCGCCACCTGTCCCCTGGCTCCCCCTCCTCGTCCTGTTCCCCCTCTGCGCCTCGTCGGAGGGCAGCCGGCTTTTACGGTGGACCAGATCCTGGACTGCCAGTGGGTGGGGAGGGGTCTCCTATTTCTGGTGGACTGGGAGGGTTATGGGCCAGTGGAGCGGTCCGGGGTGCCCAGGATGGACATTCTGGACCCAGGGCTGATACAGCATTCCGTTGCCTCCACCCGGAGGCTCCGAGGTGAACGGCTGGGGGTGCACTGTTACAGGAGTGGGTCACAGTTCCGGAGCGACCCACTAGGTGTCATCCTCCGACAACCATAGGCATCTCCTCACTCACAGTCGGGACTAATTATCTGTCTATTGGTGTCACCTGTGGCTATCTGATTCACCTGTGCATTTGTGCCCTCACTTCCCTGTGTTCCCTTGCTCAGTTGTCTCTGCTAGTTCCTTAATGTCAAGCAGTACGTATCAGTGTCAGATCACGAGACGGAGTTACAGGTACTCGAGAAGTGTTCTCCCTGTATCATTGTGTTTTTCCAGTCAGAGTTAGTATTTCGTATTGTTTGCTGTCAGCCAGTTTTTTGGAGACCTATGTGCTCCTCATTTGTTTTCGTGTATAGTCCGTTGTTTTTGTATCCTGGCTTTTTGGGTTTGGACCACCAGTAAAGATTCCCTGTTTTCAACCATCCTTGCCTACTGTCTACCTGCACCGCACCTGGGTCACACCTCACACCAACCCTTACAATAGCCATTTCAACTGTTACAGGCAACATTTTGGAACATAAAGACAAGATTTTTCATTCTGCCGGAATTTTGTGTGAGTGTTCAAGCCTTTTGTAGTAGCCTCACCAAAAGCTCTTTACAAGATTTGTACTTTTAACAAAATCGCACTGTTGGAAAAGCGGCAGGAGCTGGCCTTACTGTATAATACAAAGGAGCTGGCCTTACTGTATAATACAAAAGGAGCTGGCCTTACTGTATAATACAAAGGAGCTGGCCTTACTGTATAATCCAAAGGAGCTGGCCTTACTGTATAATACAAAGGAGCTGGCCTTACTGTATAATACGAAGGAGCTGGCCTAACTGTATAATACAAAAGGAGCTGGCCTAACTGCCTTCATTTTCTTTATGTTTTTAATTGAAATGAAAGGGAATCTCACAGACTGTGGTCTTTAATGTCAGTCGTCACAGCTCAGTCACAGTATGGAGAACAGGGACACTCACCTGACTGTGTCTCGACTCGCCATATTTTCCATTCAGGTTGGCCCGATGGCAGTTTTTGTACCACCAGGCTCCTTTGTAGGACAGAGCACAGTTGGTCACAGCGATGTCATTGTCTCTGTCTTTGGTGGAGAAGGGACGGCCTTGGTGATAGCTCAGTGAGTCCCCTGTGACAGGGATTGGAAATCAATTACGAATAGAAAGAACCAGCACAAGACATGGGCACACTGGCAGTCTGATCTGAATAATACTGCAGGGCTGGAGCCAAGTGGTGGGTGGATGGGATTAAATAAATGATCTTCTTTCAAGACACCATAACAGAGATGGAAGAGAATGGCTTTTATGGTTTTCTAAATAAATGTATTTTGATCGGCAAGTGCACACAAGGTCCAACCGATACTTGACTTCCTCTTTTAACCCAACCCCTCTAAATTGGATAGGTGGGCGTCCAGGGAGCTGTTGTTGTGGGGGGGGGGGGGGGGCTGTTAACTGCCTTGCTCAAGAGCAGAATGACAGATTCTTCACCTTATCGGTTTGGGGTTTTGAACGAACAACCTTTTGGTTACTGGCCCAACGCTCTAACTGCTGGGCTATCGGTTTATATGCATCTCTTTGCTGTTAAAAGTAATATACTGTACGTTTAATAGCTTAGTTGCTTAATCTTAAATCAGTGCCACATAGAGTAGAGTGTACATAAATGCTCACCAGCTGTGCCATTATACTCTCCTATCCTGAGTTTGTATAAATTCCTGGCGTCTCCGATGGCGAACTTGTCATAGTTGGCATAAACAGACTCCTGGCCATCCTTCATGTCGATCCGGAGCTCGTAGCGACCTTGAGCTGCAAGCTTCTGTATGTTGTCCAAACCTGAAGAAGAATAAAGATAACCATTGGCCGTTTCAAATTAACTCACTCACTCAAGTCTGACATTAACTTGTACCTGCACCTTTACATGGCAAGAACCGATGCACACAGGAAACGACATAGAGACAAGAGGAAGCTGACAGTGAAGTGAAATCTGTCCATATCTTCCAGTCAACAGCCTTTGGTCCATTTGGCCTTGCTTCTGCAGCTACTGCCAGCCCAGAGCCCAGCCAGGCTGTGATGATAAGGACCAGGGAGATTAGACCTTGCTTTCCCAAGATAACAAACTTCTCCACTTGGCAGGGATGTTTCAAGTTTAACCTCAAGCAAGAAATCATATGATGTTGTAGATGCCTCATAATAGCAGATAGCAGTTTTATTTATACCCTACAAAAAACTTCAAGCCTCTGACGATAAGCATTGGACTGAACGAGGGAGAAACTGGGCTCGGGCTCCGATATGTCAGCAAAAGATACAATCGGCATTACAAAGCAAAGAAAGCCCTGGTGACAGGGGAAAAGCAATTGGTGTAATAAGATTTGTTAAACATTGAGTGAAGTCCAATTTGCCAGTGCCATGCAGGATCATCTGCTATTTATTGATAGCAAAGCTTTTGCGTCGACTTGATTAGAAATAGCCAGCAGGATAAAAAATGCATTTGGAGGCTGTATTCTGTTCTCATTATATCTCCTAAGTTAACATCTCTTATCATTTTATTACCCAGCTTACTCCTACACTTCCACAGAAATTAAGGGGCAAATTAAAAAGAGCGATAATGATCGCATATTGCACAACTGCGTCAATTTCTTTATATTACGTCCTCAAATTGACAATATATTTGGCCAGGGTCGGGTCAGTGAGTCAGATTAATGGATAGCACCGCAGCTGAAATAAAAATGTGCTGTTTTCAAACGGCTACTAATAAAAGCATCCATTAATTCCTGTTTCTTTTGTGTGAAGCAAACTTAATGTGAAGTGTTTCCCCGCAGAAAGAGCTATTCTGTCCATATCAGGGTAGTTAAACCAAATGTTATTTTGTCTCCCAGGTCTAACACATAGTCTCTGTGGTACGATGTCGAATAAAAAAGGTCAGGTGCGGTATGCTTACATAATCTGAAGCCCACCATGCTGTCATGTCTATACCATATCAGTGTCAGTCACAGGAATGGTACAGTACATGGCTACAGTGCTCCCTGTCATGGCAGGAGGTGTTTTTGCAGTGTGGACAGCCAGGTCTCTATTAGTATGAGACTGGGCAAGGAGGAGCACTGGGTGTGCTTGCCAGAGCCAGAGGTGACCTCCTACTGTGTATTTAATGACAGACAGGGGATATGTGATGGGCCTGACAGTGTAGACCGGGGTTGCATCCCAAATGGCACCCTATTTCCTATACTGTATAGTGCAATACTCAAAAGTAGTGCACTATATAGGGAATAGGGAGTCATTTGGGATGCAGACACCTACCGTCCCCAGCAGGAGTGAGCACAGCACTGAGTCAGCAGAAATGAAACAGGTCACAAGGAATATCTACTGGATGAGAAGTGCTTTTAGCTTTTACCAATCAGGAATGAGTCAGGATTCACACTGGTTTCCCAGCGCATTGGATTTGTGTGTCATTAGTAGATGATATACTGAGGTACAGCTTGGGTAGGAACGTAGTGGCAATTGGTGATATAGAAAGAGGCATGACAAAGACTGGGGATGAATGTTCTGCAGGGTCATCAATATTCTGCAATGTTCTAAAGCAGGGGTGTCAAACTCATTCCATGGAGGGCCTAGTGTTTGCAGGTTTTTTTCCCTTTCAATTAAGACCTAGACAACCAGGTGAGGGGAGTTCTTTACTAATTAGTGATCTTAATTAATCAATCAAGTACAAGAGAGGAGTGAAAACCCGCAGACACTCGGCCCTCCGTGAAATGAGCTTGACACGTGTTCTAAAGGTTAAATTAATTTACAATCCTTTTTTTGGTTATGAAAGTGTACTGTACTGTAATTCTATTTTTCTAATTAAAAGTACAAAAACTAGTTCTCAAGGTTGGGCTCTCTGCTATGAAATATTCATGTTGACCTCATCTTTTATCTATTTGCAAAAACAATAACATGAAAACAGGCCCATGAAGAAACATTGTTCATTTCTAGCTTTTGTAATGAATATAATTATGGATTTTATAATGAGTTCATCAAAGGAGAGAGCGCTTTTGTTTTGTATCAAAATCAGAGAATTTATGAAAAACAATTACCATGTAATCTCAGTGAGAAATGAGAGCTGAATACATCCATTAATAAATCGCAGAGCTAGTGTTTGTGAAGTGAAGTAATGAAAGAAAGACAGGAGAGAGAGAGAGACTAGAAACAACAGACTAGAAACAAATGTGTAAATTAAGTCAACTGTTAATTCTGCTGTGGGAGAGATAAGCAGAAGCAGAGACTGCAACACAAACACAAGGGCCTCCTATTCCTATTTTAAGTAGTGTACAAAACTACACACTCTACCCCAAGAGCGGGGGTATCTCTCTACAGAGCTAAGTAGCCCCGAGAGATACCTCCTAAAAAGTGTTATGGGGTTGAAATGAGCTGTTGAGGACCTTACCGAGCCAGAATTCATCCTCTAGGTTCCCAAAGCCGACCCTGTAGTCACTCCACTTCCTGGAGAAGTCGGTAAGGCCATTCTGACGACGTTGGAACACCTGGAACACAGACCAGATACAGATGCAGAGTGGAGATCAGGTGACAACACTTTAATTACACAAAGTATATGTCCCAAATAGCACCCTATGCACTATAATGTTGGGTGTTGTTGGGGTTTTTCTGCAAGGTATATCTCCTGCTGTGAGACACTTACGATCCAGCCTCCTTCGTCTGTGGTCATATCACAGTAGACCTGCACTCCCTGATTGGCATCTCTGTTGATGTAGATTGTGTAGACGCCGCTCAGGGACTCCCCATTCAGCAGATGCTGGGCACAGTTCTGAGGGGTGGCAAACAGACGGTTTCCTGGAGCGGAGAAGAACAGAGCACATGACATCAGCTCAACACAATGGAGAATGATGAGGACTGGGCCCATATTCATAAAGCATGTCATAGTAGGACTGCTGATATAGGGTTAGTTTTGATTTTAGATCATAATTAATATGATTATATGGACAGAGGGGATCTGATCCTAGATCACCTATCATAGTCTGTGATGCTTATTGAATATGGGCCTGGAATCTGGATAGAGAGTGGAGTGGGGATAAATGGTACGTGTGTGTATGTGTGTGTGTGAGTATCTGTGTGTGTGTTAGTGTGCGTGCATATGTGTTTACCTGTTGTGAAGGCCGTAGAGACGATATCGCTGGTCTCTAATCCCCTGGCAGCCTGCAACCTCACAGTGTATTCTGTGGTCTCTGCCAGGCCCTCCAGACGGATCCACGTGTCTTCTGCATCCAGGATCAGCTCCTGTAGCACCACACACACACACCACAGAGGGGAGAACACACAGATAAGGGAACGGTAACTGATCCTAGATCAGCACTCCTATTCTAAGGCGCTTTGTGAATGCAGACCCTGATCTGATAATTCCTGTTGTTATGAATAGGAGTGTAAGCACAGCATAGACCTAGGGCTTTTAACATCATTTATGGGCCTGTGAGTGGATACGGTACAGCAAACAGCTAGATCCAATCCAAACAAGTGTATAGCAGACAGTAACCCATAGCGGTGATACTATCTGACTCCTACCAACAAACAACAAAAGCACCCAGGCACATTTACAGAAATAAAACATTGTCAGGCCCATTTAAATGCTGAATTCATTATCTAGTGTATTTGGCCCTTGTACAACTCTTCCTTGTGTTTTTCTAAATGATCAGAAGGAGAACTAAAACCGCAGCTAAAGGGGAGGGAAATGACCTTATCAGACACTGGTGCTATAAGGAGCTGCCAGGAAGAGGAAGAATGGCTATTTCGGTCTAAAACTCAAGACGGCTCAATTCCCTTTAATTGTTTTTGACAAATCCACTTTTATCAAGCGTATCTTCTGTCGCAGAGTGGATGGCATCCCATTTTTCTCAGAGATCTCTTTTTCTGGCAGATTAAATAAAAAATAGATTTCGATGATGAGCTCTCTAGGAGCTGGCTGTGACAGCAGCGTGAACTGCTGAATCTGATGAGGTTTGAGCCACATGAAATATCTATGAAGAACTGGATGAAATGTTCAGCCATTTTGGAAAAAGTCACACATTTTAAGACAACATGTTGTGTGAATTATGCAGTTAAAGCAACTTTTTAAATAATGTTTCTCTCACAATGGACCTGGTACTGTTTCGCTGTAGTTTCTTTGTCAAGAGTATTATTTTATTGTTACAACAACAGTTACCGATATAAAATATTTGCATGTATGGTATTGTTGATCATGTACAAAACATAATTTACAATAGATTGCAGGTTGCCTAATTTACAAAATATAATTGTATTGCTCTAATCTAGAAGGTCAACATATTCAAACTAACACAGATTACTGTGGTGAATATGAACATTATATTAGCAGAGAGAAAAGGTTGGGAAGAATTTATGGGGACTGAAATGAACCTAAGCAGAGTAAAACAACATATCCTGTGACTAAAACCAAATAATCTGTGCATGACTGACACCCACTGGACAAACACAAGCACCAAAAACACACAAGGTCAATATAGTAAAACACATGCATGTGTGTTGACTGTGACTGTGTGTGTGTGAGTGTGTGTGTGTGTGTGTATGATGTGTTCGTGCATGTGTATGCATGTGTGTTGAAAGATATATATAAAAAAAGATTTAAAGCTAGATAAGATAAAGACAGTGAGGACAGTACAGTCTTGGGCTCTGTCTGTGACTTTGTCCCAAATGGCACCCTATTCCCTTTATAGTGCACTATTTGACCAGGGCACATAGGACTCTGGTCATATGTAGTGCACTATATAGGGAATAGGGTGCAATTTGGGATGCATTCTTGGGCTCTGCCTGTATGATGTAATTAGTTGAGAGAGATATCTGCTGTAGAATATCAGGGGAAATTGTTCCTGGTGAGTCATTAATAGGCATATTGTATCGGAATAACCTTGCTAATCTACTTTATTAATATTACTCAGCTACATCAAAGAATGTAATTAAAATGAAAAATGTTCCAGGAGGCAAATTAAAATATCTAAATGGCTCTATTGCCTGGGAATTCACTGTGGAGTAGAGCTGTGCAATGTGTCTGTATTAAACGGTCATTTGTCTGGGAGATATGTACACTGTTTTGGTAACTTCAAAACACTACCGGTAATTCTCATATTATGGCTCATATGTTACGAATCATATTTCCTGTGAGGACCTTTGGCTTAATGATACAGCATAGAGGCCTACAGTGTGTGAGCTTGATTGGAAACTCATAGACAAAGATAACCCTTACAAAAAAAGATTGCAGTTTTCAAACTGCAGTAAAAGTGCAGTAACTGAAGTTGACTGTGGTATTTTGGACGCAGTAATAATAACTGCAGCGTACTGCAGTTGAACTACAGTTATACTGCACTCTGACTGCAATCTTTTTTCGTAAGGAAAGGCAGCGTTTTGGTAGCCTGAGTGCCAGTCTGTTTGTGATATGATTCCAATTCCTTGTCACTCATTCTCATGCCAATGTTTGGCTTGACAATGACAGCAATGGAGAAGACAAGAGCACAGACAGCTCTGGGACCAGGCTAGTGTTTTGGCAGCTTGAAAACACTACACATAACACTTGTGGCTCATATACATTTCCCATTTGAACCTCTTTGGCATGTACAGTTCAGTATGTGTCTGTGAATGGGAACTCTTGTTGATAAAGTTAGATAAGCCCTACTGTATTCTGCCTACCTTTCTGCTGCCATCGGCTGATTTGTATGTGAGCATGTAGTTGTCGATGTCCGCGATGGGTGGCTGCCAGGAGATGAGGGCGCTGCGGTGGTTCACCTCGCTGGCCGTCAGGTTCAGAGGAGCGTCCATGGCTACAGGGGAGCAATCAGATAGCAGATAACTACATCACTGTGAGTCAAACCATTAGAGGCTACTGTATGTCTGGAGGTCAATTTCTAGTATCCAAATACTGTACTTAAATAGGGAAAGTTGCCCAATTATGATCTATCTCCTAATTTGATGAAACCCCCTCTAGCGGACCTTAGTTAGAATCACCCTTCTGCACATGCATTCTAATGTCCTTTACCCAGCGTCCTTTACTGCAATATTTTTTTATCTGCCAATGATTCATGCTAAAAATAAATCTGCCTACTCAGACAAACGTTTTTGCCAAAGCATCTATCCTCCTCGCACATCTAGATACGTATCTGATAGACTAATTTATGTCATTTATCAGACGCTCTTATCCAGAGCGACTTACAGGAGCAATTAAGGTGAAGTGCTCAAGGGCACATTGACAGATATTTCACCTAGTCGGCTCGAGATTCAAACCAGCAACCTTTCGGTTACTGGACAAACACTCTTAACCAATAGGCTACCTGCCACCCACTCTGTTCCCTACCTCACTCCTTTTCCTATCTCGCTCTCCTTCTGTTGTCCTCAGGTGTTTTCAGGGGAGCTCTATGACAGTTCAGTAATTAACAGTGTGTTTCACCACTGATAGCCTCAGGCCTGAAGGATTTTCTACATGAGATGCAATGACATCTCCACACGGCAGTAGTGCCCACTAGAGAAAATTACAATGTTGGTGTCCACACTGACCTATCTGCCTCTTCCAGGTCTTATCTGACAGACTGCCATTCTCCTCCTCTCTCCTCAACATGACTGCTACGCCTGAGAGGGCGTTAATCCTTTCATTTTCCTTTCATCCCCTTTAATTGTGATTGAATCTTTTCAAGTCATCACAATGCCTACACTTCTCTCTGGTTTCCTCTCTCTCTCTCTCTCTCTCTCTCTCTCTCTCTCTCTCTCTCTCTCTCTCTCTCTCTCTCTCTCTCTCTCTCTCTCTCTCTCTCTCTCTCTCTCTCTCTCTCTCTCTCTCTCTCTCTCATTCTCTTTAATTATACCCTGTGTCAGCACTATTCTGAAAGATGGAGTTTTTCGACATCTAATATAGAGGTGTCTCAATAGGCAAACAGATGGCAAATGCAGTAATGCATTATTACTATATGGTAAGAAGATCAGTAAATCTCCCTCCTGTATGCATTGTACTGAGATATACAATACATGTATTTCAATCAACAAACAATTAATAATTGAATCCCCATGCACTGGTTCAGGTGGATACTAAACCAAAGTACTTATTTTGAAGAAACATTATCATTTCTAAAACTTCCCTAAATAACATCTCTCTTACTGGTCAAGTCTTTTAGAAAGTGAGTCAGCAAATAACTTTATGCTCATAAGAGGCCATCAACACTGTCACATTTTTATCAGAGCATAACAACCAGCGAAAACAAAGCGTAAGCAGAGCATAACCACATTGAAAATTAAATAAGACCCAAATTAAGAACAGAAAAAACCCTCTGAAGCCTGGTGAACTTCGCTACCCCATCCAGTGATTACGTGTCAACATTAGAGAACAAGGCTGGCCCTGGAGTAGCAAAGCTGATGGCCTGTGACACTTTTAGACAAAATAATTTGGTGAAAAACAGTGTCTATAAATTAAGTTTTGCAAAGGGAACTGGTTGATTAAATAAATATAGGGGAATTGCCCCTCCCTATAGGGAGACTTTTACCGCAAGACAAAAAAGCCACAAAAAAGTACTGGTTGTTATTTTATTCTGGACATTAGTTTGTGTACAGTACAGAGGCAGAGCAGCAGCCCACTTGTTGTGAAAATGTTAATATGGTTCCACTGTAGTGCCGCCTGGGCCACTCTGCTCCCTGGGGGATATTAATGCACTGCTGCTGACAGAGATTTTTTTTGTTAATGAAACACTGAAAATAGAGTTCAGGGCCCGGTTGCACAAAACATCTTAAGTACATTTTCCCCTTATCTTTTTTAGTCAGTTGTACAAAACATTTTAAGGCGAATTTCCCCCTTAATTTAAGTGAAAAAGTTAAGGGTGCCCATGAGGTCCCTTAAGTGCTTCATTGAGTATGTATATCAATGTAAAAAGCATTTGTGGAGTTGAATGTTGCTTTCCTCTACCCTGGTTTCAAAAAGAAAACATCCATCAGCAAGCTAGGTAGCTAAACAATGAAAGGTACATAATCCATGGCTACATAGCTAGCTGTCTAGCTAGCTACCTACTCTGCTAGCTTGACGTGCTAGAAAGTAATAGAAACAAGTTGAGAAAAAAGTAACAAAAAAAACGTGTTATATTATGTTCTGAATCAATTTGTTTCTCCTGTCTTGAGTGTAGAAGTTCTATTTTGCGATCACGAAATTAATGTGATCTCTTTGATGAGACATTCATTCAGTGAATCAGGTCTTCTCCGGGGTAACCAGAGACTCTTTCTGCCATACATGCCTTCAAACTACAGTAAAACGCCTAAATGATGCCTTTACGTAAGGAAATGTTTGAGGGGCTCTATGCAACAACTCCCTTAGGTAATGTGAAATTATTCCTTAAGGTAAACCCTTAAGGGAAAAACTTAAGGTATTTTATGCAACCGGGCCCAGAGCCCCAACTCTGGCTAAACTACACCATCTTCCTCCCCTCCTCTTCTCCCTTCCCTGCCGTAGAGTAGGTATGATCTCATTGGCTTGTGAAGGTGTCCATATTAGGACAGCCTCAGTCTTGGCAACTCTTGCGGAGATATATTCTTTTTTTATGAGACTGAGGCTGTCCTAATGTACCAGCATTAGAGATATTGTCAGTCAGTGATCACACTGCAAGTGCCTCAATGAGATGGGCAATGATTCCTGTTTCTAATTAGACAAACTTTAACTAAAAGGTGTGAGAGGGCACCCGTTAATTGAATAGTAGTAATGAGTTTTAAGTAGCTTGTTTGCTCTTAGTAGTCTTTGTGGGCTGGTTCTGAATGGGTAGGTGGTACGTAGCTAAACAAGTAAAGTACGTTACATACGTGTTGCAAAGTTGGCGATGACCGTTCCACTGGTCAGGGGTCCCTTGGTGGCGTAGAGGGCTACAGAGTAGGTGGTGCTAGGCAAGAGCTTAGTGAGCTGGTGCTCCTGTTTCACACCCTCCACCAGGAAGGTATCAGCTGTCACTAAAAGAGAAGGAGGAACAGAAAGACTTACATTACAATAGGAGAATACATGAGATTGTAAACAAACCTGACTTTTATGATTACATTAAACAGTTTGAATGTATAGCAGTTGCCTAATATATGCACAATTGGGTTGGTAGATTGGGGTTCCTATGGCTGTTATATTGGTCAGGTTTAATTGCATGTTGCATCTTCAGGATCAGACCGTTTTTTTTTTTTCAATTTTCGCCTAAAATTACATATCCTAATCTAACTGCCTGTAGCTCAGGACCTGAAGCAAGGATATGCATATTCTTGATACCATTTGAAAGGGAACACTGTAAAGTTTGTGGAAATGTGAAGTTAATGTAGGCGAATATAACACATTAGATCTGGTAAAAGATAATACAAACAAAAAAACATGCATTTTCTACTTTTTCTTGTTCCATCATCTTTGAAATGCAAGAGAAAGGTCACAATACAGTGAGGGAAAAAAGTATTTGATCCCCTGCTGATTTTGTACGTTTGCCCACTGACAAAGACATGATCAGTCTATAATTTTAATGGTAGGTTTATTTGAACAGTGAGAGACAGAATAACAACAAAAAAATCCAGAAAAACACATGTCAAAAATGTTATAAATTGATTTGCATTTAAATGAGGAAAATAAGTATTTGACCCCTCTGCAAAACATGACTTAGTACTTGATGGCAAAACCCTTGTTGGCAATCACAGAGGTCAGACGTTTCATGTAGTTGGCCACCAGGTTTGCACACATCTCAGGAGGGATTTTGTCCCACTCCTCTTTGCAGATCTTCTCCATGTCATTAAGGTTTCGAGCCTGACGTTTGGCAACTCAAACCTTCAGCTCCCTCCACAGATTTTCTATGGGATTAAGGTCTGGAGACTGGCTAGGCCACTCCAGGACCTTAATGTGCTTCTTCTTGAGCCACTCCTTTGTTGCCTTGGCCGTGTGTTTTGGGTCATTGTCATGCTGGAATACCCATCCACGACCCATTTTCATGGAGGTTCTCACCCAAGATTTGACGGTACATGGCCCCGTCCATCGTCCCTTTGATGCGGTGAAGTTGTCCTGTCCCCTTAGCAGAAACACACCCCCAAAGCATAATGTTTCCACCTCCATGTTTGACGGTGGGGATGGTGTTCTTGGGGTCATAGGTAGCATTCCTCCTCCTCCAAACACGGTGAGTTGATGCCAAAGAGCTCCATTTTGGTCTCATCTGACCACAACACTTTCACTCAGTTCTCCTCTGAATAATTCAGATGTTCATCGGCAAACTTCAGACGGGCTTGTATATGTGCTTTCTTGAGCAGGGCGCTACAGGATTTCAGTCCTTCACGGCGTAGTGTGTTACCAATTGTTTTCTTGGTGACTATGGTCCCAGCTACCTTGAGATCATTGACAAGATCCTCCCGTGTAGTTCTGGGCTGATTCCTCACCGTTCTCATGATCATTGCAACTCCACGAGGTGAGATCATGGAGCCCCAGGCCGAGGGAGATTGACAGTTATTTTGTGTTTCTTCCATTTGCGAATAATCGCACCAACTGTTGTCACCTTCTCACCAAGCTGCTTGGCGATGGTCTTGTAGCCCATTCCAGCCTTGTGCAGGTCTACAATCTTGTCACTGACATCCTTGGAGAACTCTTTGGTTTTGGCCATGGTGGAGAGTTTGGAATCTGATTGATTGATTGCTTCTGTGGACAGGTGTCTTTTATACAGGTAACAAGCTGAGATTATGAGCACTCCCTTTAAGAGTGTGCTCCTAATCTCAGCTCGTTACCTGTATAACAGACACCTGGGAGCCAGAAATCTTTCTGATTGAGAGGGCGTCAAATTCTTATTTCCCTCATTAAAATGCAAATCAATTGATAACATTTTTGACATGCGTTTTTCTGGATTTTTTTGTTGTTATTCTGTCTCTCACTGTTCAAATAAACCTACCATTAAAATTATAGACTGATCATTTCTTTGTCAGTGGGCAAACGTACAAAATCAGCAGGGTATCAAATACTTTTTTCCCTCACTGTATAATATTGCAGTTTAGGCGCAATATACATGTGTGAAAAGTATCAGATTGATCCAGTGAAGCATTGCAATACTGTGCCTAATTGGTCAATTGATACATTTTCAAGTACATAACTATAGAGAACATACAAAAATGATATGGCAATACAAAATGTAAGTTTACACACTCCCAGGAATGTCATACATGATGGATCATTAGCTTATACACTAACTTTCACACATATAGATGGCCGGGCAGGGTGGGTATGGAGCCAGAGACAGCAGGGGTTCAAACTTTAGAAACCAGTTCCTACAATAAAAATTGATTTTATCAAACAAAACAATGCTACATTTTGTCTCTGGGACCCTTAGGATGACACATCAGAGCAGTGTCTGAATCCTGGCTCAGGAAGGCCACCAAAAATTCTGAAATTTCCATCCCCAACTATAACATTTTCCGTCTAGATAGAACTGCCAAAGGGGGTGGAGTTGCAATCTACTGTAGAGATAGCCTGCAGAGCTCCATCATACTATCCAGGTCTGTGCCCAAACAGTTTGAGCTTCTACTTCTAAAAATCCACCTTTCCAGAAATAAGTCTCTCACTGTTGCCGCTTGCTACAGACCCCCCTCAGCCCCCAGCTGTGCCCTGGACACCATATGTGAATTGATTGCCCCCCATTTATCCTCAGAGTTTGTACTGCTTGGTGACCTAAATTGGGATATGCTTAATACCCCAGCCATCCTACAATCCAAGCTAGATGCCCTCAACCTCACGCAAATTATCAACGAACCTACCAGGTACAACCCTAAATCCGTAAACATGGGTACCCTCATAGATATCATCCTGACTAACATACCCTCTAAATACACCTCAGCTGTCTTCAACCAGGATCTCAGCGATCACTGCCTTATTGCCTGCGTCCGTAACGGGTCCGCGGTCAAACGACCACCCCTCATCACTGTCAAACGCTCCCTAAAACACTTTAGCGAGGAGGCCTTCCTAATTGACCTGGCCCAGGTATCCTGGATGGATATAGATCTCATTCCGTCAGTAGAGGATGCCTGGTTGTTCCTTAAAAGTAATTTCCTCTCAATCTTAAATAAACATGCCCCATTCAAAAAATACAGAACTAAGAACCGATATAGCCCCTGGTTCTCCTCAGACTTGACTGCCCTTGACCAGCACAAAAACATCCTGTGGCGTACAGCATTAGCATCAAATAGCCCCCGCGATATGCAACTTTTCAGGGAAGTTAGGAACCAATATACACAAGCAGTCAGGAAAGCAAAGGCTAACTTTTTCAAACAGAAATTTGCATCCTGTAGCACTAACTCCAAAAAGTTTTGGGACACTGTAAAGTCCATGGAGAATAAGAGCACTTCCTCCCAGCTGCCCACTGCACTGAGGCTAGGAAACACTATCACCACCGATAAATCTACAATAATCGAGAATTTCAACAAGCATTTTGCTACAGCTGGCCATGCTTTCCATCTGGCTACCACTAACCCGGCCACCAACTCTGCACCCTCTGCTGCAACTTGCCCATGCCCCCCCCCGCTTCTCCTTCACACAAATTCAGACAGCTGATGTTTTGAAAGCGCTGCAAAATCTGGACCCCTACAAATCAGCTGGGCTAGACAATCTGGACCCTTTCTTTCTAAAACTAGCCGCCGAAATTGTCGCAACCCCTATTACTAGTCTGTTCAACCTCTCTTTCATAACGTCTGAGATCCCCAGAGATTGGAAAGCTGCCGCGGTCATCCCCCTCTTCAAAGGGGGTGACACTCTAGATCCAAACTGCTACAGACCTATATCCATCCTGCCCTGCCTTTCGAAAGTATTCGAAAGCCAAGTTAACAAACAGATCATCGACCATTTCGAATACCACCGTACCTTCTCCGCTATGCAATCCGGTTTCCGAGCTGGTCACGGGTGCACTTCAGCCACGCTCAAGGTCCTAAACGATATTATAACCGCGATTGATAATAGACAGTACTGTGCAGCCGTCTTCATCGACCTGGCCAAGGCTTTCGACTCTGTCAACCACCGCATTCTTATTGGCAGACTAAATAGCCTTGGTTTCTCAAATGACTGCCTCGCCTGGTTCACCAACTACTTCTCAGATAGAGTTCAGTGTGTCAAATCGGAGGGCCTGTTGTCTGGACCTATGGCAGTCTCTATGGGGGTGCCACAGGGTTCAATTCTTGGGCCGACACTTTTCTCCGTGTATATCAATGATGTCGCTCTTGCTGCTGGTGACTCTCAGATCCACCTCTACGCAGACGACACCATTTTGTATACATCTGGCCCTTCATTGGACACTGTGTTAACAAACCTCCAAACGAGCTTCAATGCCATACAACAATCCTTCAGTAGCCTTCAACTGCTCTTAAACACTAGTAAAACTAAATGCATGCTTTTCAATCGAACGCTGCTAGCACCCCGCCCACCCGACTAGAATCACCACTCTCGACGGGTCTGACCTAGAGTATGTGGACAACTACAAATATCTAGGTGTCTGGTTAGACTGTAAACTCAACTTCCAGACTCACATAAAGAATCTCCAATCCAAAGTTAAATCTAGAATCGGCTTCCTATTTCGCAACAAAGCCTCCTTCACTCATGCTGCCAAACATGCCCTCGTAAAACTGACTATCCTACCGATCCTTGACTTCGGCGATGTCATTTACAAAATAGCCTCCAACACTCTACTGAGCAAATTGGATGTAGTCTATCACAGTGCCATCCGTTTTGTCTCCAAAGCCCCATACACTACCCACCACTGTGACCTGTACGCTCTTGTTGGCTGGTCCTCACTACATGTTCGTCGTCAAACCCACTGGCTCCAGGCCATCTATAAATCACTGCTAGGCAAATCCCCGCCTTATCTTAGCTCATTGGTCACCATAGCAGCACCCACCCGTAGTCTGCGCTCCAGCAGGTATATCTCACTGGTCATTCCCAAAGCCAACACCTCCTTTGGCCGCCATTCCTTCCAGTTCTCTGCTGCCAATGACTGGAACGAATTGCAAAAATCTCTGAAGCTGGAGACTCTTATCTCCCTCAATAACTTTAAGCATCAGTTGTCAGAGCACCTTACCGATCACTGCACCTGTACACAGCCCATCTGAAATTAGCCCACCCAACTACCTCATCCCTATATTGTTATTTATTTTGCTCTTTTGCACCCCAGTATCTCTATTTGCACATAATCTCTTGCACATCTAGCATTCCAGTGTTAATACTATTGTAATTATTCTGCACTATAGCCTATTTATTGCCTTACCTCCATAACTTGCTACATTTGCACACACTGTATATATATTTTCTGTTGTATTTCTGACTTTATGTTTTTTTTTACCCCATATGTAACTCTGTGTTGTTTTTATTGCACTACTTTGCTTTATCTTGGCCAGGTCGCAGTTGTAAATGAGAACCTGTTCTCAACTGGCTTACCTGGTTAAATAAAGGTGAAATAAAATAAAAAAAGAGCAAGATTACTGAATGTAAGTACATGATTTACCTTCAGAGGTGAATGTGCACTCTCCTCAAACAATAGCATGATATTTTTTTCACTGTAATAGCTACTGTAAATTGGACAGTGCAGTTAGATTAACAAGAATTTAAGCTTTCTGCCCATATAAGACATGTCTATGTCCTGGAAAGTTTGCTGTTACTTACAACAGTCATGCTAATCACATTAGCGCACATTAGCTCAACCGTCCCGTATACGGGACATCCGATCCCGTAGAGGTTAAATCAATTTAGCTTAAATTCACAATTTCTTATTTATTTGCACGACTAAACTTTGTTTAACCAATCTAGATACATTGGCTGTTTAATGATTGGCTTACTACATCCTTAGAAATAGGTTCTATGTTGATGATGAAAAATAACAGGTTAACAAACCATTTCTGCCATGATTTTATTGCCTAGATGAGTTTGGATTAGTAAATGAGAAAGGGCACACCAAAGAGTCAATAGAGCACATTGGCAAGAGGTTGCTGAAGAACCAACATTTGTGGCCATATTGATGAAAGCGGCATCGAATAGCAGGTTGATATCTGAGCTTATTTCCAAGTAGCTGTCCTAGGTTGTGCGTCCCAAATGGCAGCCTATTCCCAATATAGTGCATTACTTTTGACCAGAGTCCGATGGGGAATAGGGTGCCATTTGGGACACAGCGCTAGACTTTCTATCAGAGTCGACCTGGCAGGGGTCCAGTCCACCTACAGACTCAGGGTGGTCCACACGCTCCACCCCTGTGGCGGAGATACAGAGTTTGTGAGAGAGAATAAGTCCACCTACCCTGGTTGCAGGTGAGGGTGACAACGTAGCTGTCAACGCTGGACAGAGGAGGGTTCCACTGCAATAAAGCTCCTTGTGGGGTAATGTTGAGGGCTGTCAGTTCCATTGGCATGTCCATTGCTGTATCAA